TCACTGTAAACCTCTAATCTACTTTATGATAAACTAGTATATTTATAGTTTTTTACTTGTTTTTTCTTTTTAATTGGAAGTTATATTTTCACAATATAATGTATATGGTGCTTATCACATAGTAGGCACTTAGTATATCTTTTTTTCCAAACTTCATTCCATACATTTATTATAATAAAAGAAACTTAAAGATAAATTTTTCTTTTAAGAGTGTATATTTTTCTTTTTGGTGATAGTAATGTTGTCGGATACATTTTTGGTAAAATGTCCATTGAGTAATTGAATACTTTTCTGCTACTTATAATTCCTCTTCAGCTCTTATCTTCCTTAATGGAAGTAGGCACTGACAGAGGTCAAAATGTCTGAAAATACAATGTGGCTTAAGAATGAATTAACAAAGTCATTCTCTTTTTGAACAACAGTTATACCATTCTAATTTTGCTTTACATTAAAACAAGTTTAATGTACAAATAATTTACCTTGCTCAGAAAGTAATATGAAAGGAAGCGTATTAGAGGCCAAGGGTAATCACAGTGGAATTAAATTTAAAAAGTTAATAAACTGTGCTAGTTAGTCAAGGTATTACTTTATTGTGTTCCTTAAATATTGTAACTTTGGGTGCATGGACAAATACATAGGATATATGGACAAAAATTCTTGAAAAGTTGAAGGACTACCACTTCTAGCTCTTTATTTTCAGTCTCTAAATCCCTCTTTTTTAAGTGGGTTGTCCATTTCCTTCTGGAAAGGCCACTTAATATTTTATGCAATTGATAATGTTTTCCCACAGGAATCTAAAATAGCTATTATATTTGAGTCTGACTCCTATTTTTAAAACTAAGTGTGTCTTTCCAAGATTTTTGGAAGTTGGCACTACTACAAATGCTTTCTGGGTACAGTTTGTTTTTTAGGTTTCTTTTTTCCATGGGTACTCAAACAGGAACTTGTTACTGAAATTAGAAAAATAGCATTACTGTGAAGCTGATTACAGCTGTATTGGAAAGAATCTTAGCATCCATTTGGAGATATTTTCCCACTTTGTTAACATTTTTAAGATTCTTAAGAATTATTTTTCTTTTCAGCTTTCACAAATCAAATTCTTTCTGTCAATATTGTCATTTTTATAATGCAGTGAAGACATAAATGGCTTTAGTTTTTGTGGGGATTTTTGTTTTGGGGGTGTTGGCACCAGGAATTGAATTTAGGACCTTGCGCTTGCCAGGTAGGCACTGTACAGCTGACCTACAACCCTTTCCCTAGCTTTGGTTTTGTAATTCTCCTTAATACTTGTCTTAAACCCAAAAAGAAGTATTTACTGAATAATGTAAGCATGATTTTGTGCTACATATTTATACTGGATCAAAAGTTTTCTTCTGTGATCATAACTGCTCCTCACTCCCCACTGGTGGCTCTCTGTGTACAACAGCACTTTCATAGGGCAGTTTTTTAAAATGTGATCTGTACCCTTGTTGTATAAAGGTCTGTCTTTCCCATATCCTTTTACTATTCATTGATAATGCACTGTAAGACTTAAGTCTCACTTTTACTCCTGGAGCGTGAACAGCCAAGAGGCTTCCACGATGCTGGGCTCAGAAGCTCAGCGAGGCTCCAGGAGCTTGTCGGACAGCGAGAGTCACCCAGGAAGGAACACACCAGGGAAGTTGGCAAATAGACCTTTATTAGTCTGGCCAGATGGCACTCCCCAAGCCAAGTAGCTCAGAGAGGCGGCTAGCTCAGAAACAGAGGCCATTTTATATAGGGCTGAGGCGGGGTTTACACTTAAAACTTACAGTGTGGGACCTAAATTACAAGCCCTTGCTAAATGGCAAAGGGCCTAGGAGACAGTGTCCTGAACCCCTCCCATTGTAGCCACAGCCCCGACCTTTGTTCCTGCCCGGGCCTAAGAATGTGAATCACTCTTGTATTGTTTGAAGTCCGGATCTGAATCTACCTGTAAATTAGAAACTCCAGACATGGAGCCCAAGCTAATTGACAAACTGTTTGCTCATCCTGAGTGTCTTAGTGACCTTTGAGACATCCTATAGGTGGTACCTGTTACTCATCAATATGTGACTGCTGACCACCAGCTCAAGTCAGCAGACCTTTGTCCCCTGTCTGTGAGCCCAAAATGTTAACCCCCTCCTTTTACTCCCTATAAGAGGACCTCGGCCCCTGAGCTAGGCGCCTCTCTGAGCCAGCCACTTGGTTCTGAGAGTGCCGTCTGGCCAGACTAATAAAGGTCTTTTACCATCTAGCCTGGTGTGTTCCTTCCTGGGTTTCTCGTTCTCCGTCGAGCTCCCGGAGCCTCGCTGGGTGTTAGGGCCCAGCTTCGTGTAGGCCTTTTTGGCTGTTCACGCTCCGTGGAGCGGAAGTGAGATTTTAGGTCTTACAACAGGAAGAGGACAAAGGCAAAGAATCAGTTGATCTGAGCTAGTGGTCATCAAGCATATACTTGACCATCACATACTAATGATCAGCAGATCGATTATCCATTATTCCATTTACAACTTAGATTATAATGTTCAGAACATTCAACTACAGGCAAGTAAGGAGTGGCGTGATTTGTGTTGGGTCTCTGTGTTCACTACAGTTTCCATTTAGTTTCCCAGCTACTTCAAAGCAGTTGTCTAACAATTCACAATCATTAGTCATCCTATAAGGGATGGGGGGGAGCAACAGTCTCTAGGTCGTTTGCTGGTCAACATGGAGTCGCTCTGGTTCAGTCAGGCTCTTACAGCACTATATGTTTTCCAGTGACATTTTTACATACTTATTCTGATGTTTTATCAAAAAAATCAAAACCGTTTTCTTTATTGTTGCTTGACTTGTCTATAGTGGCAGAAAAGGGCAGTATAATCCGTTCCTTAAATTCCTTTCTCCCCTAAAGAAAATTTGAGTTCCTTGAGTACCTTGAAATTTTCATCTTTCCCAAATAAATACCCAGGGAATGTTGAATAAATAGTTTTCTGCTAATTGTAATTCCACTTCAGCTCTTACCTTCCATAAGGAAGGGGGCAATGACAGAGGTCAGAATGTCTGAAAATACATTATGGCGTAAGAATGAATTAACAGTCATCTACTTTTTGAACAACGGCTATACCATCCTAAGGTACACCATACCTGGCAAATATATATGGCTTATCATCTTTCTGCATCTAATCCTTATTTTACTAGTGGCACCACATTTCCCCATGCCAGAAACTTTGGTGGTAACTGAAATTAGTTTTAGGGAGAAAAGGTCTATTTTGTCAGTTTTGTCACTTAACCCTCTCTCCACTCAGTTTCTCTCTCAAACCCTGCCAGGCTGCCTCCTAATTAGTTTTTTGACCAGTTTTGCCTTCTTCTTCCATTCAATCCTTCACGTTATTTGGAGCCAGTGTAGTACATGAGGTCTTTTACCATGATTTAGTCCTTTCTTTTTTACTCCACCTTATTACTTTGCTAATTGCTGTTTCTCTTTCAAATTAAAGTATTAATTCTTCTGTGAAGCCTCCTGACCTCTCCTGACCTCTTTTTTTTTTTTTTTTTTTTTTTTTTTTTTTTTTTTTTTTGGTTTTTTGGTTTTTTGAGACAGGGTCTCACTATGTACTTGAGACTGACCTGGAACTGGAACTCACTACGTAGCCCAGCCTGGTCTCGAACTCACAGTGATCCTCCAGCCTCAGCTTCCCCAGTGCTGGGATTACAGGCATGAGCCACCAAGCCCGGCATCCTGACCTCTTTGTCTTTGTAACTATTTCCCTTTTAGTTCCTTATCAAAATATAAAACATCTCCTTATATTTAACCTAGAAAAGTACAGAAGCCTATCTGATTTACAAGTGTAAATTTTTGCGGGAATGACAACTATGGGTGGTGTTTCTGTAATTTATAGTGAAGAAAGCACCTGAGTGACAAGGTAAGAGAGAATTTTCAAATGGACAATGACCTGACAACCCCTGAGGGGTCACATTTGAGCTGCCTTTTCTAGTTATCAGAAGTTTCACATTCTTCTACCTGCTGTTGTGTCTGTCAAATGCAAGTGAGGAGAGCAGACTCCTTTGCTCTACAAGCAGCTCAGAAGTATGCTTTTCTGGTTTGGTTGGTCTTTGTTCCTTTCCAAGGGGTGGGAGGGGTGTCTCTTCTGCATTTCTTTATATCTGAAGTGACTACTTATAAATATAGTTTATGGATTGTATCTTCTGTGGCAGCTACATTTCGTGATTTTTTTCTACATGTTTTTAAATATAAAGTTTATATTTAAATGTAGAAGTTTGTATTTTAGAAAGGTGAAGATAGGTCATAGCATTATGCTCTATTTCTTTATTATTTATTATTGAATGAGGCATATGCTTCTGAAATTACACTCTGCTTAGTGTAAGACTTGAATAAGCTAAAGTGACTCCATGCTAATGGGCCAGACTGTGCATCTTCATATGCTAATTGCTACCTTGGTTAACAGCCCGCGGAGGGGCAATGACCGTAGGACATTCCCTGCATAAGATAAGCAATGTGTTTGCAGTCTTGTTCTGTGAATTCTCTGACTCTTTGTTTAGAAAAACCTTATAAAAAGTACCTCAGCCCCCCTGAGCAGTTGCCTCTCTGAGCTACCTGGTTCCGGGAGTTCCGTCTGGCCATACTAATAAAGGTCTATTTACCATCTAGCCTGGTGTGTTCCTTCCTGGGTTTGTCGTTCCTCCGTCAAGCTCCCGGAGCCTCGCTGGGTGTTAGGGCCCAGCATCGTGGAGGCCTTTTTGGCTGTTCATGCTCCGTGGAGTGGAAGCGAGACTTTAAGTCTTACACTTAGTTTGATGGATATTTTTTTATTCTGTTCACTAATTTTATATAAGCACTATTGTAAACATTCCAAAAGTGCTCACAACCCATACATTGCTATGTCTTGTTTAGTTATACTTTATCTTCTAAGATTGAACCAGACTACTTCAGATAGTTTTGAAACTATGGGAAAGATTGCTTTATTATACTGAAGTTACTCTGATTATTTATTTTTTTCTGTTAATAGATATTCCCTTCGGAGAGGTAGCTCCTTTACTTTTTTAACACCTGGACCACACTGGGACTTCACCTTGGTGAGTAGACATTTGGATTTTTATTTCATGGCACTAAATGGGTGTAATTCCTAGTTTGTCCTTCAATCTGTTACACAGTTCATTTGCAGGTTCTTCTGAGTGTCTCGAGGAACAGAATTTCTATAGCCATTTTTGACAGCCTAATTTAGTCCTTTTCTACTAATAAGCTGGAAAATGTTTATTTCAAGTACATAAAACATTGCAGAGTATTCATATTAATTAATCTTTAACTCTAGCTTTTCCTAATGTTAAATTTAAGAGTCTGTATTTTGAAACATGAAGTTAACATTCTCTAACAGCTTTTTTGTGGTTGAAAAATATTTAAAAATTTATACTTTGATAGACATTTTCTTGTTTTGAGACTTGTTTTCTTGTTTTGATCATCTCAGTACAGGGACTGTTTCATTACTTTTAGGGCAAGACTTTACAGAGGCATGTTAATTTTTTATGATATAACACCAGAAAATTGATTCTTTCTATACTTAAAACTCTGTGGATTATAATACATATATAAAGTTTGTATAAATAGATCATGAGTTTTACTCTTATTTGAAGGAAATAGCAAAGATTCTGTTTCCATTTGGCCAATTGTTATTTTTTATATTTTGATGATCTGATAGATTCAATTGATTTGTATATTGTTCTTTTGTATTTATATATTTCTATTGGGTATTCCTGTTCAAATTTTGTATTTTTATACCCATTACATAAACCATTTATCCAGTGAAGCATTCATAGCAAGAATCTCATGACTTTAACGGAGTTCTGCACTTTGCTTTGAACATTTCCTGTCTTGGCCTCTTTCTTTCACAGATTAATGATCCTAACCTTAAACAGAAAAAGTTCAGTGGAAAAAGGCCTCTGTACTTTTGTTGTGCAAACCTGTCAGCAAAAGTATTTTGAACATGTACTCCTGATATAATTGTTTATGTAGCTTTGTACTACCTTTTTGAGCTGTTATCTTAAAGCACAGTTTTCATTTAGGGTAAGATTGATGATAGTGAGCATGAATCTGTATTTTCTTTTTTCTTTTCTGTATTTCAAACAGTCACAATAATTTCAGTTTAGGGATGACTTTTTTTTTTTTTTTTTTTTTTTTTTTTTTTGTGGTACTGGAGATCGAACTCAGGTGCTCATGCTTGTGAGGCAGGCAGCAAAACCACTGAGCTAAATCCCCGGACTTCTTATTGAGTCTGATTAGACCACTATTGTTTTTAATGTGTTTCTGATTTAATTGTTTCTAATGTGAGTAATAATATATGTACTCATTATCTCTGTATTATTAATAAAGCTTTTCAAGAATTTATAATACATTTAAAAAATGAAGTTCCAGCATTTTCCTCCTGCACTCCAAATCAGTATCTCACAACCCTCTGGGGTGGGTACATTCCACTTGGGAAAACACTCTAATAGAGATCCCCCATGACAAAAGCGGTATTTCATGATTTATGTATTAAAAATTCTGGAATATGATTCGAAGTAATAAGAGAGAGATTTATAACTCTTTATGTTTTTTGTTTTTATGGTAGCAGGGATCGAACTCAGGACCTTGCGCTTGCCAGGCAGGCGCTGGCACCACTGAGCTAAATGCCTGGCCCTATAACTCTTATGTTATGTTTTAGTTTGAGAAAAAACATTAAGCATCTAATTCTAGGGGTTAGATAAAAATCAGTAGAGTAAAACAAATAGAAGGAAAGGTAAGAGAGAAAAAAATCAGCACTCATTTATGATAAAATTCATGGTAAACTAGGAATAGTGAGAATTTCCTTAGTGTGAGACCTACCACAAGCATTACCATTATATTACCATTTGTAATGATAAAATTGTAGAAACATTACCTTTAAATTTAGAAGCCTGTTGTCATTGTATTTAGCAAAAAGAAAGCCAACACACTAAGATAAAAACAAGTGGTGTACAAATTCGAAACAAAGAGGCAGTGTGGTTTCATTATTTACAGATAATATAATTGTGTAGAATATGCAACAGAATATTAGTAATGGCTATTGAACTAATGATTTCAAACAAGAAGTCAATAGAATTTGTATAGGCCAGCAATAAAGAATCAAATGTAATTTTAAAGACTTTTATGAAAATAACAAAAACTAAGAATAAACCCATGTGAATTTTATGGTAGAACTTGGGAAGCATTAAAGAATATAAAAACCTGGGCTGGGGATTTAGCTCAGTGGTTCGGTGGCCTGCCTTGCAAGAGCAAGAACCCGAGTTCAATCCCCGTTACCAAAAAAAAAAAGAAAGAATATAAAAATCTAATAGAATGGACACACATGCAGTTTCCTACAAGGAAAGCCTATCATAAAAATATCATTTCTTTTTAAACTGCTTCATTTTCAGTGCAGTTTTAATAGAAATCCTGTTAACAGTGTATTTGATCTCATTCTACAATTTAGAGGGCCCAGAATAAAAGTAGTATACCATATAGGAAGAATATCATTTACTTTATTAGTGAGTAGACACAGTGTGATAAGAGCACAAGAATTGATAAATAGACCCAGGAACAAAGTGGAGAACCCCCCAGAATGACCTTGTGTGTGTGTGAAGCCTTACTGTATCACAGACGTGATGAAGGAATTGGGCTCCCAGCAACTGTTTGGAGGTTCAGTGTAATTGACTGTGCTACTTCAAGCTACACACATACCTGTGTAAATTCTTTAAATGTAAGAGATGAAAGTTTCATAGTATTGTTTAAGTTACAGTAGAATGTTGAAAGCCTGTTAAATATATATATAAATATACTCAACACATACATACAATTTTCTGTAATCATATGTATTTTTTCACTCATTATAGTCTTTTTTGTTTGTTTGTTTGTTTTTGTTTTTTTTTTGGTACGGGGATTGAACTCAAGTCCCTGTACTTGCAAGGCAGGCAGCGGAACCACTGAGCTAAATCTTTTCCCAGCCCACATTACAGTCTTTGCTTGGCAGTTTCCTTCCCCTTTTCCGTCTCCTTCCCCATTTAAATCCTTTCATCCCCAACCTGTACTCTAACCCTTATCAACAACACCATTTGTCTTCCTATATATCCTCTATATTTTGTTTATATCATTGTTTGCTAATAAAAATGGGCCTA